CTCTCAAAAAAGCTAGCAGAGCCTGATTTCTTTCACTCTTCCCTTTACCATCTGCTCTTAGAGCGATATTGGAAAACCCTGTACACTGGAATCATTCAAGCCTTGTTTTCTGCTGAAGTCTACTTAGAAATAGATGCTCACAGCTAACAGGTAGCATGCCTATTTTAAATACCATCCCTCCCCCAAAGCAGAGCTGGGAGAACCAGATGAAGCTCTCAGATGTTTCACCCTAAGAAAATTCTCAGTTTATTGAAAAGCCATCACTTTGGTAAAAAAAAAAAAAAATAAAGAAAAACACACAGACACCTTGATAAAATCCTTGATTTCAAAAGGTAGCTTCTTGCAGGAGTTTATGATCTCTGCAGTTTCTGCCTTCACTTCAATATTCCCTGTTGGCATTTTCTGGAGTAAAAAGGCAAGAAAAAAGAATTAGATTCAAAACTTAGGGAAAACAATTGGACTAAGGTATTCACAGATGGTTGGGGGAAAAAAAGAAACCCATGTGATTATCCTCCCTGCCTTCTAACACCGTGTAATACAGAGACCTTCTCTCAAGGACAGATTTTTCCTAGATTTCCCTTCTGCTCAGAAAAACACAAGTCACCTCACCAAAGACAGCATGTTCCTTCCCAGTAGCATACCAATCTCTACAAGAAATGTAATTACTTTTCCTTTGCCTTCTCCTTGAAGGACATGCTGAGCACAGAGAAACTAGGGCACGTGCATTTGGACAAAATACTAGTTCCATTTGCTTCAATGAAACCATGCAGTATACATTTCGGTGTGTATTAGCAGCATCACCATCAGTCCTTAACACAAGTCAAAAATGGCAACTTGTGAGGAACTTCTCAGAACTTCCAGTTCTGAACACCAGTTCTCAGAACTAGTCTTTGTTTTCTTAGATCCCACGGGAAAACAGACAGCTTCCCCCACTTAGCACTGTGCCACATCAAAGTTCATTTGATCCCACAGAACTCCTTCTATTTACCAGGGGAAAGTACATACAACCTTCCAACAAAATGATGAATGCTTAAAAGAAATAAAAGCATTGCTTGAAGGCTGTATTCTTTATGGACATCTATAAATGGTCAGAGCAAAAAAGTTATGGTCATAAACTCAGGCTCTCTTTTCCAGCCTGCCAGTGACGGGATACGTACAATCCCGACAGATTAATACATGGCTGATTACAATGAGAGCTGAGGAATGCATAACATTGAAAAATAATTCAACCTCTGTTTCTTATACATTGAGAACAGCAAAAATCTGTTCTGAATGAGAAATAGGTCATCGTATGCTGTGGAACTTGATACTTCTTTTCAAGAAATCCTCAACCACACTTTGAAAGTCTGAAAAAGCTAAAAGGCTGGAATACAATTTAATTCCTGAGTGTCTGAAACATGCTTTGAGGTTCTCCTAAGTTACATGTCATAGCATTTACTTCATCTCTCATTACCTGAGGATAGGCTGCCACACACTCAGAACCCATGGCAAAGCTATGACACAAAACCCACCATAAACCTACTATCCAGTGCTCCTTTCCACAAGGAGCAAAACCCTGGAGAGACTCCAACATCCTCACCGGATTCTCCTGTCCTGGGGGCCGAGCGGTCACAATTCCAGTCACCCGCACAACTGACTCCACTGGGGCATTGGACAAGAGCTGCTTCACATGGGAATGTGCCTGCAAGAAGAACAGGACAAACGCCTCATGATCAAGGGCCCCATTTCTTAACAGCCCATTTGAACCCGGGATCACTCGTCATAGGCCAGAGGAAACAACATTAACATTTCCATTTTAGTGGCAGATCAGGGCTCTCATAATGCTTAAATCTGCGTGGAAGTCGGAGCACTCAGACTGACAAAGTACTTCCTTCTGCTCTCCGTGTCTATTGGACCCAAGCTACCAAAGGAAAAATCAAAATAATAGAGACTCCTACTTCAGTAGGCAGCACCTACCTCATCCTGTGGAATGATGATCTGGGTCAGTCCCTGGAAATCCCTCAAAACCAGAAACAGGCCTTGTCTGATCCATGAAAAACACAAAAGGAAAACCACTTTTTTTTCAACAATTCAGTAGTCTTCTGCCTTTCAACCCAAAGCACAGGGCAACTAGCTACCTCCTGTACCTTGTGACTAATGTCAAAGCACTTCCAGGTAATGTATGTACAGATACTTTTCCCACATCTGAATCTAATCTGGACAATTTGTTTCAGATTTTGCCCAGCCACAGACAAACAATGTGCAAACAGCCAGGAGAGACAGGATTTTAACTTGAACATCAATCCATGTAGAGCAGGGATTCTGAACACGTGCAATTTCCTGCTGGGAAACATCATTCAGATGAGCAATAAAACTAAAGTTCACATGCATACCAAAAAAAAAAAAAATCTAACCACAGAACAAGAAGGAGAACATTGGTCCCATAAAAAGTTTCACATGAACAATCCACACTCCTGGACCCAGAATCATAAATCTTGATCTCTTCAGCTGCTGTGGAGACAGCTACCATTGTACTTAATCCATCCATCAAGAAGCTGTCAAATGGAAATGCTCTGGCTGTCTTTAAAAGCAAGAGCACAATGATCTCATTGCAATAATCCTAACCCTGTTTCCTGGAACTCCACCCACGACTATTCAAAGATGAGATGCTCAGGATCTCCTAAAACAAGTCCACACAGACCATTGTTGCAGAACAATGATGGATAAAAACCAACCTCTCTGGACTGAAAAATGCAAACCATGACTTTTGATACACATTAATTTCAAAGCCACCGGGCCTACATCCATGTTACAAGCACATACCGAGGATCAGAATATTTTGGAACATCATCCATGCTGTATGCAGACATGTTTTTCACCCTACAAACTGTTGCACAAACTGTACAACTCCCCTGGGAGTGATTATATCATGTCACCTGCAGCAAGCTGTTGGAATTAACATTCCACCCTCTGCTTACTACCTTTTCTTAATACAAGCTTTGCTTAAAAACGAAATATATTTTAAAATTGCATCATTATATACCGTAGTTGAAAAGACAAACAATATTGTTTGCTTAAAATCTAAGGACACTATATAAAACAAATTTTTTGCTCACAGCTGTTAGAATGACCATAAATATGCTATCACTTGTTTTCCCTCCCCCCCACAAGGGTAATAACATTTAACTGCTCTACAGTGTTGTAATGAGGATCAATTAACATTTTTACAAAACTGAAATTTTAAATATTCCTTTAGCATGGCTCTCAAGTTATACTCACTTCAGAAGTGACTACTGCAGGATATAAAAAAGACAGCCTGAAGCATAAAAAAAAAAGTGTTTGAATCCAGGCCTAGAGCATACATTGGATCTGGCAAATAAGCATCTCTGTTTTCACCTTGGTTTGCACTTACCTTTGGTACTGAATCCATCCATACAGTGTGACCTCTTGTCCCACATGAGCAGAACACAGCTCTCCACAAGTGTTGGTCCGAGCGACAAAGCTATTGAAGTCTTGAATAAAAATAATAAATTATTTTGTGGCTTTTGCAGACAAGCGAGACAAAACAGTTACAGAGATCTCCACTCCCCCCATCCCACAACACCAACATAATTTAGACATACACAAACCAATTACTCCATATATCCCCAATACCACTGCTGTAAGACATTAGGACATAAATATGACATAAAATTATTCTAAACAAGTTTTTAAGAGGAATTAATTCCCCTGTCTCAGTCAAACTTTCATACAGAAGTCTGAACACAGTCTCGCTACAAACTGTTGCCCTGCAAATGTCAGGGGCAAGAGAAGGGAAGGCTGCAGATCATCCTGAGGCATTCTGATAATTCCACAGTTGAACCTAGAAGAGCAGCAGAAAGGGGGCTTGACAAGCCAAGACCAAAACCTACCAACAACCCAAACAGTTGCCTGCCTGCAAGTACTGGTAAAAGGCCTGAGCCATGACTGCAGAAGACTTTCCACAGACCCCAGTGTGCCTGGCATCACGACTTACCAGCGCATCATTTACAGAATGTGCTAGAGCTTCAACTTGCAAGGAGAAATTTGGAGGATGCTAGTACCTAGACACATACATATAAATACATATACGTATAATTATAGGAAGTAGTCTCCCTTACTAGCTTCATCACAGACTTTAAAATTACAAGAGTAGAGGGCAAGGTTTGTTCTCCTGTCAGGGATTCAGCTGCCCCGGTTGTTCATAGGTTGTGTGCTAGAGGAAAGATGGGGAAAAAGCAAAGCAAAAGCTCAGGGAAGAAAAATAAGACAAATTGGTTTGATATACTTTGAAACACAATTCACCGTGAGATGCCAAAAAACACATAGACCCAAGACTTAAAAGACATTTAGAGCAGCGAGCCAGGGAAAACAATTCACCACACGTGTGCCTCTCACCGCCTGTGCAGGCTACCCCGCCCTGGGGAGGCTAAACCCGACCAAAACCCAGGGGTCAGACCCCGCTGCTCTCTCACCTGGAGCTGCCGGGGCCAGGGCCGTGGCCGCCCGGTGCAGGGCCCGCCCGCAGCCC